AGTGGGTAAGGGACACGGTGTGAAGCACTTCCTTATGAGGAATTTGATTTCCATCACTACATCATTGTGGCGCATTTGTCAACTAATTACGTTCTCACAAGCCGTTAAGCATTTAGTTGCACCCGCGTCTGCGGGTAGAGATTACGCTCATGGTGTGGGCGGGAATAAGCAAAAATCGTGCCTTCCTGAATGGTGCACATCCTGCTTCGATACGGTTAAAGTGGGTTAAGCAAGCTGAAAAGGTATTCCGCTGAACCGAAGTACGCTCATGTAATTTCCTAATGGAGCACGGGTGGTCTATAAGAGGAAAGCGATTGTTTGGCTCCACAGCTGTCATTGACCTATGAAAACAGTTTCTCCACATCGCGTATCGTCCGAACCGCTGATGTGTTGAATGTTCGTGACTGGCTGCGTACATAAAGCAATTAGCGCGGGCTTTGTTGCTGCTAATGCCTCTCAACCAGGGCAGCTCCTAATGCTTAGTGAGGAAATTCTATGGTTCGTTGGTTTGGACGAGTTGTCTCACTCGCGTGACGCGTCGTTTGATGTCTCTTGGCGCGCGATTGCAATGTGATAGCACCAAACGACATACATCCCTTGGTTACTGTTCCAATATGCTCATTTCACTATATACCTCCAGAGAATCGATCTCACTGGTGATAAACTGGCGGCTGTTATATGGCTGTTATCACAATTCATTTCAGTCACTCTTCCAGTGAACAGGTGAGTTTCACTTTTGATCTTCTCTTCATCGACACCAGCACTGCAACATGGCTAGTCGAAGCAAGCTTTCGCTCCTGGTACAGTGTCCTTAACAAGGTATACCGTTTTAAAAGTACAAGTAATCGCTTCTTGTTGAGGAATGCGACACGGCTGACGAAATTGACGAAACACCATGCGATTTCATCCGCTTACAAATGTCGGTTGATGATGTGACCATAGACGGTGTCAAAGTTGGTCCGAACAAGACCGAGTTTCTCTACGAACAATTCATGTTCAACACTACTGTACTGGAGCAGGTGGGTATCCAGTGGAATAGAAGCTGGGAAAAGATACAAGGCAGTTCAAAACACCTAAGCGATGGGGGTAAAGAGGCATAGAATGCAGGTCCTTCGCAGCAGAATCCGACTCAGGCACCGGACTGGTTTGAAGCAGACCCTGCGCTATTTCAAGATTCAAGCAGGGTTCAGAAACGAGTATGAAGGTGCTAATCAAGTTACCAGTGGAGAATAGCCCAGTTGAGGGCGCACTGGACTGAACCTTCCTTTTTGCAAATGAGTCTACAATGGGATAGGTATTCTCTATGATAACGATAAGAAAAACATACAAAAAGCGAGAGGCTCGGTACGCTGAGCGACCACAGTGCTTTCCCTTGGCTTTCTTCCGATCAGATCATTTAACACCTACAATGTTCGCTCCGAACCCCACTCCCCACACGTCTTGTAGTGCAATATTGTCTCAAAACGCGTTAGGGGGGAACCGATAGTTATCCTCCAGTGGTGGTGTAGTTTGTACTGCGATCACGTTTCCTGCAAACGCATACTGGCGCTATTTGCCTCTGCTAGGGTCAGCCTGCACAGAAGACGCTTCAGTAGTTAAGGTTTTCCAGGGGGTAACACTGAAATGGGTGAGCATCCTCTCATATTCCAATTCTTCATGATTGACGAACGCTTCACCCACATGAGAGTTCCTTTCATCTCTCAAAGCGTGGACTGCGAACGTTCATGCATTTGTGCAGACCGACCCCTTCGCATAGTGCCAAAAAACTAAACACGGGATCAAATCGAAACTTATCTTCTACTGGGTCACTAGAACCCGTGATTGGTGTATGAGCTGGAACTCGTGGTTCATCTCGCTCCCGTTTCAGGATGGAGTACGTACAGTCTTCTTGTATTGTGCCACATCGCCTGATTATGAATGGCGTCTGAACACGCAGATGCGAATAAAGACTGGTAGTGCAAGCTCATCGCTCCTAAAAGTAGTGGACAAGGTGGGTCAGGCTCTCGTTTACTGAGTAGATTTCGAGATCACATACGATTATCTCCTTAGTAGGCAGCCTCCCTACGGGCTGAGCGTGGGGGCGAGATTCTGAAGCAGTGCTCACTTCTCATTGGCAAATCACTTGAACCATCAACAAATTTTTTGTCGATGGTTCAGGTGAGACTCCGGTTCGAAAACGGCAAGAGCTAGAGGGGGCCATAAGAGGCTTCACTGTACTAGTAGACCTCTCGGAACACTTTCGGGGCAGACTGGGCGGTTTCTGTCCCCACCCATGAAGCGGAAGTGCGACTTCAAGCTTTCTGCGTACTCTAGATCACTTAGGATGTATTCGAATTCTATCCGAAATGCGATCCCATATCAGTGGAGCTGATGAGCGATTCGATATCTGCTGTGAAATTCGAACTTCGTATTCTTAATAAGGTAACGTTGAGCTTTTTTTTTCGAGAATCTAACGACAAAATGTTCACGCACGGGGACAGTCTCACCATTGTGAGATAAATGGGTTCACAGCTACTGTGCCACTTTCTAAGCACATAAATGAGCTGGGACCGGAAGGGCAACCTAGCAGTTTACCACCTCCACCCTTCTTATGCTCAAAGTGCAACACTTGCGTTGATACTGAAGTCGGCAGCGAAAAACGCCCTCAGCGGCAGAGAGCAACCAAAGGTGTGAAGGCAGATAAGTAGCGATGGAAGGCAAATAAGTAGCGCGTTTGACTACGGTCATGCATATGGCTGGGTGTGCGATACCGCGGGTGAAGCCTGGAGAGACGTCTGGGTATTAGTACCCTGCAGCCCTGTTTCCGTGCATCTTTGAACGAAGAAAGTGGCACGCTGCAGCGGCTGCGAACCACCGGGGTCCACGAAGGTGAGTGCACAGTTTGCTCTTAAGAAGATAATCATGTTACCACCTAATGGTAAGTACTGCCCAGGAGCTTCACGGTATCTGAAGGGTGAGAAACAGTGTGAAACTTATTTCAGAAACCTAAAGACAAAAACCAAAAAAAACCAAAGAGATGCCAGAAATTTTGACTTTGGGGTTTTTTGAAATAAATTTCTGGACTTTCACAACGCTGCTAAGCAATCCTATTAGCGCATGCCCTAGTAACAGTGCTTAGTGCCTAATATGTTAATTCAGTTAATCGAGCCGCTGCCTACATTCCAAGAAGGCAATTTGACGGTTTTGTTCAGCGACGGTTCATCGATCAAAGTCCATAGGGAGCTTGTATCCCTGTACTCCACTTATATAAGTAAAGTAATGCTTCGGAGTTCATTTGCATAAGTCTCCTACAAAGTGCCGGAATGCCGTTGCCAACTATTCTACTGCTTTCCTTCGCCCATAAGAAGAGAACATCAACCAGTTAACGGTATGTTAGCACGATGGCTGGGGCGGGGCAGTTGCGCAAGGTTATTCGTCGTGAGGTGCAGACGCGATACTACCAGCAACCCCCAGCCATCGTGGCTACTGCCTCTAAATGAGGTGGAAGTGACATAGAGACCCGAGACCACTTCTTGCCTGCACAGGCCGGGTGATCTCAGGCCAGTCAGAACTTCGACCCTTTTTAGCAGCCGTGTGGAAAAGGCTTTCCACCTGAGACGTGGCGGTGGACGCGAAATGATCGTTGATGTGCCAACATTACAGCCCCTCCCTCGACCCCTGCAGAAACGCCGTATGCGTGAAAAAAATCGCAACACAGAGAAAAGGAATGGAGTATTTGCTTGCTGTGAGGTGGGGGGGGGGAAGCCATCGTGGTCTGCGTAGTACTACACTGCTTGATAGATTAGCTATCCTGTTTCAGTTTCTTGAACTATTTTGCCCTTCACCGCATCACCCTTGAGGATTCCAGCCTGATATGGTCAGAAATCTCATCCATCGTTCTCCTCCTTTTCCACACAGAGAGCCCTGGCCTTGAAGTCTCTGGGAGTGTGACGTACTGGAGGAAATGTGTGGCGCATTTCACAGCTGGCACTACTAGACGGTGATTGGAAGAGTTTACACCGGAGGCGTTGGCAATGATCAATGGGAAAAAGCAAAATTGCAACTTATCAAGCAAATATGCACCAAAAGCTAATCTTTCTTGTTTCAGGAGACTGCACAAAGGGTTCCAACATCACTACGGTTGAAGAATTTTCGAAGGATGCCTTCATAGAAATGTTATCTACGGAACGTTTTCCTATCTTTTGATTCACTTGCAATTGATTAGCTTTTCTCAAGTGTGGATCATTCCTGATTATTAGTGATAATTACTGTTATTTGATGATAATCAGTGATTTCAGTGGGTTCATCGGAGGGAATAACTTTGTAGATATATCCAACGCTGAGACCCCTTTACCGTAATATGCGGGACTTTGCAAAAGCTGCCGTCTCATACCAGGCTGCTACGCTTGTCTACGAACTCTCAAAACATTTAGTTAACTACAATACAAGATCCGTGAGTTTTTTCTGGTTCAGTAGAATGTCCTACCTATACGTTCACTTGAGTTCCTATGAAGTAACACTTTGCCCTGTTTCTGGTTTGGGTCTGTCAGAAGGGACGCTAGCCGAGAATAGAATTCCTCGAGAGACTCATTAATTGGGGTGGTCAAACTCATTTCGAGTTGTTCAACTTCAACGCGATAGAATTGAGTAATTACTAAGGAAAAACTGTGGAATTACCGCATTAATCAACCTATTACGTAGAAAATACGTGCAGAGTGGGGTGATTCATACTGGAATGGTCCGTCTCTGGAAAACCACTTGCGATTAGCATAAAGTTCTTTCGTCAGAAGAACAGTTAGCGCAAATACATTCATATTCACGTGAAAAAAAAAAGAGCAGCACAAAGGTTTTACAGTTCAGATGTCTCTTGAGCAAAAGCTCAAAGCCGCCCTCGATTTGGAACTCGGTCCAGCCGTGGAGGAGCTTGTATACAGGTATGTAGGTGGCTTTCGATGAAATCAGCTCCCACAGAGATGTTGTCACCGCTATACTGAAACATTACCTTGAAACGAGACAAGCTTCCGGGGGGGGCGGGTGAGCGAAGAGAGAAGAGGTTGGGAGGGAACTGCGCATCGTATCGGAAAGCGCAAGCCAGCTTGCTAGCTAACAGAATAGGTGCTATCGGGGTTGAAGAGTAAATGCCCGAGACTAGGATACACTGGTCATCTATCGTCCTACGTGCGCTCGAGAAGATTAAGGAGTCGCATATTACTGTGTGAGAAAACAGCTCCGTCGCTCTCGCTGCTATAAGGTGTAGGGATAAAGCTCTGGGTGTTCGTCAATCCCTCTGAGACAAGAGTTGGGAGAGCCGTCCCACAGACAGTCCCACAAAAATGGCCTACTTCCATACAACCTAAGTAAATAACCTACAGTTTGGAGACTCATATGGCCCCGTCGAAAAGCGATCCTGAATCTCGCCCCTGAGACAGAGCGAGCAATATGTGGCGCGACCTACTTCTACCCTGCCCTGTTGGGATATGACTGCTACGACGCTTATCTTCTCCTTTGCCACTAAGATATGATAAGAACTGACTGTTCCTTCAAAGAGCTGCTCAAGACGGTGTGTGGACCCATCTCATCAAACTAGGGTTCGAGCCCGAAGATTTCTTTGGCGTTGAAGTTTATCGAAAGCTTGTATGTCCAGCTATTCTTGCCGTAAGTGATCACATCCTCTGACCTTTACTCATGAAAAGTAAGCTAGGCTATATGTTTACTTTTCAGGGTCGTCAGAACGAGTACGGCAAGCCGTTCATTGAGAAACCCTTTACCTTGCCGGACTTCTTCTCGGATAATGTAAGTGAAATAGCTCCTTATACGCTGGAAGTCATCTTCAATTGCTCAGCACTAACTTTCAGGCTATGAATGATCCCCTGAATACGACCTTTGTGTTTCGTAGAACACCATTTTTCGTCAATAGTGGAATACTCAAGGCACATGGAACAAGCAGATTTGGAGTGAATTCAGAAGGCGAGCACTACATTACTCAACAGACGGGACTAGACTGTACCGTGGTTACTTCCCGCTCAGGCCAATGAAGCCTATCTCCACTTCGGGGAGGTCACTAGGTACGAGACCTGTCTAGGAGGGCAAAGCACCGATCTGTGCTTTGGCTGGCCCGTAAGCGCGGCATAAGCCATATGGCATTCAGAAATGCCAGAGGATCCTCACGGAAGTAGGATACATAGCATATCATAGAAAGCAGTTGATCAGCCGTAAACTTTATCCTTAAATTGGCCATTTTTTAAAATGTATTATTTAGTCCCGAGAAAAAAATTTGTTCAAGAAAAGATACGGTTATGATTATTCTATGTTTAGGGCTCCTCCAAGCGCTCTTCACTCGCGAGATGGAAAAAGAATGCGCCAGATTTGAATTGCTACCTGGCGAGGTCAGTTTATTTATTCTCGCAGCAGGAGAGCACATAATCAAAATAGTGTTACATTCCGAGCTACTTTGCTGCCTTAGAGGCACAGCCTGCAATAAATTAAGGTTGAAACCTCGCAAAAGGGCACTATGACCAGGTAGGCACCCGCTGAGACTGTACTACAAGCAAAAGTTGAAAACTAGCTAGCCGAGAGCAGAACGCACGGTTTCGTGGTTAGGCCCACTGGTGTCCAACAGGCCCATGCCGGTCTCTGGTGCCTGTGTCGGTGCCTGTGTCGTTGTGACACTGCCATTACGCTCTCTCTCCCGTCGATTTCTGGCCTATCTCGTCTCTTATTAATGTATCGTCTTTGCAAATAACAACTGATCTTTACCATCTCATGCTCGTTCGGTGATCACGATCAATCGCCACAAAAAGGGTCCTAGTGTGGGCTGTTTTTTGAGCTTTCCTCTTCTCCATGAGGTCAGACAAGCACATAAAAATTCCATTTCGAAGTGTCTTTATTTTTATTGCAAGTGCGATCTCGGGAATCCCTTCTAAAGTATAGGGTGGGGCTGAAGGGCGGCGCGGTCTCTGCTAAGCATTGGTCGCAAGGCGGCTGCCATAACCCGGTCCACCCATTTCTCGCCCACTGTAACTGCTGATCATTTAGGTAGTAGTGTCGATCTTGAACTCGAATGTATCCACTTGGGCCTGAGGTACCGCCACGATTTCTACGTGCAGCTATTGTGTTCTGTCACGACCATGACTGGATTCACATGAAAAATCAGCTGGAACAGGTAAAGTCCCTACAAAGTAAAGAGTAGTGATGACAGACGACCATCACCTGCTTTGGGTCCCGCTTGTCTATGTATCTCGCTCTGGGCGGGCGGCCAAAACTAGCCCTTAGAGCTTTTGAAGCACTACTTTTCAGAATCTTCTCCAGCAACCTCCAAACACTTGCGAGGAATACCGCGATCAAATAATCTTTGCGGAACAGTTCAACCTTCAAAATATAGCTGCCACGTCGTTCAGAGAGCTGAGGCAAGTCAGGAAAGAGGTTTTTTTGAGATGTAGAAGTGCCCAATTTCCTCGTCTTCTAAACCTCGCTAGCATTTCGAAGCTCTAAACGTTTTGTAGTTTATTATGACGATATACCGCATTAGCGCTTCTACCAACAATACGAAGCTTACATTTGAGCATGGTGACGTCGATATACCGGAGGCTTGGCTCCTTAGGCCTGGCGCGCCTCAGTCATCTTCATTTACAATCACGAACAACATCGCCATCCCAAACATTCAGTCTAGGCGGGCGTTCGCGATACCTCTAGAGTGACTCTGGAAAATAATGGCCGCGAAGGAATGTCACAAGTTGCTAGCTCGCATTTTCCTTACGACGTGCACTGTTATCCAAACTGACAACCATTCTCTGGGACCTGCCTCAGCCTCTGCAGTAGAACTCCTCCCCCCCCCTCCCCTCCCCCCCACCCTACTCCCCACAACTGCCTTTTTCACAGGATCTGTGGGCCCCTGACAGAAAGGGGTTCCTTACCTGAGAGCGAAAGCTGTTAGAAACACACTAGGTCTAAAACACAAATCGTAGCAGATCAGAAGGCTGGATGAGAATGATCGAAATGAGAATTTCCTGGCAGCGGGACCATCCGCAGTCCTCTTCCTGGATTGAGGACAGTTCCCGCGATCATGTGAAAGATGTAGCAGGTGCTCATCATGTACCACTAGCCATCCAAACTCATCAGTAGAGAAAAAGTGCGAAAAAAAAAATTTGAAACACTGTGCTGAACAGGACCTCCCAGTGGGCCGGCGCCTCGGACGAGCTCATCATGAGGGAAAGCCCACTCAGCAGGAATTCCAGGTGAAACCAATTCCCGGCAAGGGAAGAGAAAATCGCCCTACAACCCTCCAGGCAACGCCAAGTACACACGCAATGTTCCCGCTCTGATGAACCATTATCTTGACAGGTTTACTGTAACCGCGGTTGCACCGGTTGCAAAAATTCAGGGCGGTCTCCAGCTTCGTTATCTCGTATTTTCAAGTGACGAAAGTGGTACATTGTCTGCGAGTGCGGACAACGACGCCAAATACATGGAGGCATTTCGCTGATCACTTGTTCGCGGGGAGTGTCTTCAAGAGACAACTGTAGACGGATCTGGTCTGTCTCACGAAACTTCGTATGATTTTGAGCCTTTTCAGCTGTAACGCCTTTGCGCACGAGCTGCGAAAAAGTGACGATTTCAACATGCTCTCCGCGGCAACCAGAAACTTATTGGTGGATCGTTTATGTAGTGGCTGGGGTCTCGAGCCGAAACATGTGAATAGACTGGCAACCAGGTAAAGCTTCATTCTAATAGATTCCAACAATTTTCGCTCCTTCAGTGATTTTTTGCTCTTTTCTAGGGAGCCCAGCTCGTTCCGTGAAAGAAAAGCTGGACTGAGCTGTGGTGGACCACGTGCTTTCGAAGAAGAACGCCAAGTTGCCACACTGGCCGAAATGAATTCCGAGTACTATTTTGGCCCCGTGGGAGAACTCTGTGTTGTGGACTCTTAAATATTACGTTGCAAACAGTTCACACATCCATTGTCTTTTTGTCCGTTCGTTTGTGCTCGTTCAATCGATTTCAACATTCTGCCGTGTTCCCATGCCGTATTCTCGGGTTTTGTGGCCTTCCCAAGTACATTGCGAGGTGGAGTTTTCTTCCCTCCTTTGCTACAGTTTCATAAATATTGAAATGTTTTTGGACTGATCGTGTACTAAATCTCCATACAAACATAATCATAGATGTTTGGATGATCAGACCACCATAGTCCGGATATAATGAAGAAGCGACCCCACTCTATCTGTATGCGTTCGTTTCAGAGATCATGGGGACCTTCTATTTACGATTTATTACGTCTTAAAATGAGGTTTATTTGTTATATCTCCTGCCAACGTCCCACTGCTGTGTACAGCTTTACTCGCTGCGCAGGGCGAAGATAGGCCCCACCACCGCCCCCCCCCTGAGCAGTAAGGGCGGTGTCATGGGTTTGGCGCACTGCCCGTCTGCTCTCCACCAGGGAAGCGGCAACAAATGGTGGAAAATGACTGATACGAACGTTATGATAAGCCTTGTCGCTTGCCGAGTGATAGAAAAAAAGAAAAAAAAGTGGTGGGCTGCTCCATACCAGACTCATGCCACCTGATACGCCCCATCATCCGAAGCGCACAAAGAGTGTAGGATTGCGCCTCTGCTTACTTCTGTAGACAAGTAAGACGCCGATCACTCAAACACGTGCCGGAGATTTCTCGTTTTCAGCGTTATCCAGTGAACGATGTAAAGCTTTTTGCCAAAGTTCTTATCATCGATCATTTATGATCTATTTTTAACTCTTCCATGTTTATATTATTGATTATTTACATCTGTCCCAAGCCTAAAATAAGAAGCGTAGCTTCTCGACCCGTTTGACCGTTTGTGGCGTGCTATGTTGTCCTTCTGCGAGGTGCTACAATTTCAAGTGCATTGGTCACTGAGGTGGTCTCACGATTCTATTGACACAAAGTCGTCAACGCTTAGCACTTTGAGCACTCGCCTTCAGACCCATAATTGGAATTTTTCACCCTCTCTTGCTTTTATTTCCTCTCAGTTCTCTTCATTTGAGAGAACGTTAGTAGATAATGAAATTTTTTCGAGGAGATCTCATTAGTCAAAAGAGCTTTCGTTTGAGGAGTGCTCTCTCGTTCTGTTATCACAGACATTTTGTTTATTGTCCTACGAAGCAGGGGCAGTAGCGTTGAGAAACATCTTTCCAACAGTAGCGCCGAAATTTTGCTGAGATGCAGCAATGCACGCCCTAGCGTTGATCCAAATACAACCCCCATCAGCACCCGCTTTCGGCACTCCCTAACCATTTCCAGCGACTAATCACCCGACTAGGATTCCGGTTTGAATATGAACCCTAGCAAGGTCTGAGAAGTCTCTCCAGTCTACTCAAGTTTCCACTACACTAATACGGAGCCCCTCTTTGGGGGAGGAATACGTCCCCTTTCTTCCTGAAGTAGTAACCCCTTCACTGCAGAAGCGATCCGTCGACTTTCTTCGGACAATCCCAAGGACGATTGCCCTACTCTAACGATGAAAATTATAATTCGCACAAACAGAACAGGATACTTGGCCTACGGAAATGATCGCTGCCCCTGGCGACAGAATCCTGCCTTTGTCTCAGGAAGGAAATTTGTCAAGTAAATATGGCATTCACTGCTGAATTCATGATAGAACTGCCTACTCCTACCGCTTGCATGGCCTGTTCCCCTCATTTTCTTTGCTAATATTCAGATGATCAAACTGTTACTATTGGTGACGGCATTATCTTCTTCAACGACATCATTCATTATTGGTGGCTGTATTGGACCAAAATCTGTACTCGAGCGGTACCTGAACCAAAAACAGAAGGCCGAATTACGCAAACTTATTCATACCCAATTTGATGGAAAAAACGCAGAACAGGTAATTCCAAATGCCTTTATTATGAGCTGACCTAAAAATTCTGCAGTGGTAAAATCCAGTTTCGGGTTATTTATTTCTGTACCAAGGTCCTCCTGAAGCACACTGGGAGGGACTGTCTGAAACTCAATTTCGAGGTCAATCCGCAGGAGCGCAGATTTAAAAAAAATGAGCCATGGATTGAAGCGAATGAGCCGGGGGTTAGGGTGTTGGGATTTGAAAGTTGCGGATTATGACGCACAGCGAAGGGACTGCCCGGTCCAGTCGCAGAAGCTCAATCTGCAACATGTGCGGCATAAGTAGGAGAGAACGCGGAAAAGTGCTCTCTGTGTCATCCTTCCTTTGGTGTTATCTATCCAGCTGTTCCCAGTAAGTCTTAGCTTCTCCGGAATTTACCGTTCATTTGAATGCGCACGAAAAGGCTGTTTCCTCTGCATACTGTCGATTCGAATGGATATTACCGTTTTTTTTTCTTACAACCTTCGCTCACGTGCTGCTTGACTCGTGCATACGGGCTATAGCCCACAAAAAATACTTTCTTGGACTCACGTTTCGGAGTAATGTAGACTACCTGCGCTAAAGACTTCTGTTGATTCGATTCTCAGTGTTTAGAGCTGCAATACAGCACAATTTAGAGTTCAGGCTATAGGAGCGTTGGGTTCCATCGAGTTCTCTAAGGCCTCTAGCCATCTTGTACTGTCATATAACTTGAAGTAAAATATCTGTTTTGCTGAATTGCCGCAGAACAACAGCCTGTCCTCCCAAATAGGAGAAGGAAACAATATGCCTGAGGCTGTTTCAGATCTTTCTTAGCCACATGTAGAGCGCTGCAAGATTACTTACTTACTTACTTGGATAGTTGGACGCTCGTTCTCTTCAGCGACGAGCACACGCTTCCCTCCATTGTTTGCGATCTTGAGCGGTTTGGATCCAGTGTTGGTCTGCAGCTTCTTGGAGTTGCTTCAAGGAGTCTCTCCAACGGGTTGCAGGGCGGCCAGCCTTGCGCTTCGCGTCTCTCGGATACCAGAGTGTGATGCGAGTGGTCCACCGATCGTCCGTACGTCTGACCACATGTCCGGCCCATCTCTTCTTTGCATTCCACGCGTATACTACGGCATCGTGGATGCCTGACATTGAGCGCATGTCTGTACTGCGCAGATTGCGACATCTCTGCTCACGGCGGTTGATATTCAGCAGGGTCCGTTCCAATGCTCGTTGGGCACGTGTCAACATCAGCGTGGACGCCTTGTTCTCTGCCCACGTCTCGGATGCGTAACAAAGTGCAGGCAGTACTGTAGAGTCGAATAGAGCAGCTCGTATTTTCCTGTCCGAAATGAGCTGGGCCGCCTCTCTTATGCGTCCCATTGCCGTCCATGCGCATTTTTTGCGTCTCATAATTTCTTCGCGCAAATTGTTGTCCATGGAAATGAGTCGACCAAGGTAAACGTAACGGTCGGTATCCGGTAGAGCAGTGCCTTCGAGTATGATGGGTGACGCATCTGCCCACTCGTTGCGCATGACCTCGGTCTTGCTCCGGTTCATCGTGAGGCCAATAGCTTTGCCGACGTTGTTCAGTTCCTCCACCATCCGCTGTAGCTCTGCTGAGTTTTGACTGATAAGGACAATA